ACTGAAGCAGGGTTTAAATTATTTATTAGAAGGACAAGAGGTGCAAAACTTCTGCAAATAAACCTGGTGAAATGAGGCAAATTAAAGTTGCGTTAAAACAGTATTTAATTTAGCATTTATTGTAGGCAGATTAGCAACACGTGTGTCACTGCTATAAAAGAATCCAACACATTAACGACATGCTTTTAGTTGTGCAGCCCTGACGTAATGAGTGGATTATTAGGTGTTAAAAGTGTAAAACAAAAAAGACTTTTGTGTCTAAAATGAGCCGTTTCTCGAGGTGTTGCCATTAATCAATTATCTTTGCTGACTTTAATGAGCCTTGCTTCACTTTTTGTTTGATTTTAGGGTTGTCATTTGAGTTGTAGGCCTAGGGCAAACTTTTAAAGTCGTACTGAGTTTGAGTGACCTTGGAAAACCTTGAGTTACTTTTAGCATGTGTGCTCCTAGCATGGGAAGAGCATGTCTTGTAGACCAATCAGCAGCTGACGTCTCTGGTCGCAGTTTTCAAGGATTTTAAGGCAGATATTGAGAAAAATATGACTTATTTGTTGTAGTTTGAAACTCCTAGGGAAGTGTTTCTGTTTTAAAAGTTCTACTGAGTTGGACTAACCTTGGAAAACCTTGAGTTTACTTTTACAAAATGAGTTGCATTGGTGCTCCAAGCATGGGAAGAGCAGGTCTTGTAGGCCACTGTCTCACTCTTATATCAAATCCGTGAATGACAAATACTTTGAGTTGTGACATGACATGATGAGTGGGTTTATAGATCCGTGTTTGGACGTAAAAACACTGAGTTTCCAATGATTTTAAGGCAAAAATAGTGACTTTGTGTCTAGTTTAAGGAAGTCTTTCTAAGTTTGTCATCAACCAAATGTCTTTAGAAAGTTCTATTGAGTCATTATTAGTTTGATTATATACACACAAAACCTGAAGGAAAATGTGTAGTCCAAGTGATTGTTAGGCCAAACTTTTAAGGTCGTACTAAGTTTGACTGACCTTGGAAAACCTTGAGTTCACTTTTAGCAAATGAATCTCATTAGTGCTCAAAGTGTGGAAGAACATACACGGCAGATTAGCAGCTGATGTCTCACTCTGGTGATAACATCCAATCCTTAAATGAGAAATCTCCTTCTTCTGCAGAGTTGCAAAGGAGAGTCGATTCATGCATTGGTTTATTGACATGATGTGAACTTTAAACTGAGTCTTTCTGTGATTTTAAGGCAAAAATAGTGAAAAATATGACTTTTTTTGTAGTTTGAGACTCTTAAGGGAAAATGTTGTAAAATCTAATACATTTGAAATAATTGAGTTTACAAAGTTATTGCATTAGTGCTCGTTTTTGCACATAAAAACACTTTTAATTGAGTTTTCAATGATTTTAAGGCAAAAATTGTGAAAAATATGACTTTTTTTTTTATTTAGATTTAAAGTCCTACTTACTTTTTCTGACCTTGGAAAACCTTGAGTTTACTTTTAGCAAAGGAATTCGTAATTGTGTTAATACATTTTTGCGCAAAGCATTAAAGAATATGTTGCATTTTGCAGTTTATTTCTCTTTCTCATCAAAACAGTTGAATTTGTAAAAGACATTTCTATCGTTGTTCAGACCTGACATGGAACGTTGATTTATAGAAGAGTTTTGGACCTAAAAAACACTTTTAACAGTTTGTTTTAATGACTTTAAAGCAAACATAGTGAACATTTTGTGTACAGAAACTTCTCTGTAACTAAAATTAGATGTTTGTTTTAAACCAAATGTCTTGAGGGACGTTTTAATGAGCCTTGTTTCATTATGTTACACACAGGAAAAACCTTTGCCGCCTTCAGTTTGACTGACCTTGGAAAACCTTGAGTTTGTTCCTAAAATAACGTATTTCTCCACTCCTTATCCCCCTTTAATAAACAATAACATGCAATATGAATACAGATCATAAAAGCACGTATAAAATAACATATCTTTGACATTTTATCTCCTAAACCATGCAGCAGGTTAGCGCTCCCTGACCTTAAGAAGCATGGCTGCCATGTGCAGAAAGGAGGATGTCATTCTCTCAGCCGCCAGCAGGGGGCAGCACCTGCAGGACCCTCTCCATCACATGCACTTTAAAATGAATGAATGAGTTTGAAATAAAGCGTTCATTAAAAGCCCTGTTGAGGTTCTGGTCCAATCAGAAAGCCCCTTTTTGAGCACGATCCTCCCTTTTGTGCTTCAGTCTGGGTCACTGCCCCCCCCCCTCCCTTAATGTGTGTTTAAACGTGTCCCTCCCCCTCTGTGTGTGTCACATGTTAACTCCTCCCCCCCTCTCTCTCTCCTCTCTCTTCAGTAACTCGACCTCCTCTGCTCTCTCTCTCTCTCAGGGTGAGGACAGGATCAGAACCACCATCACAAAGAACCAGACCCAGAACCAGCAGAGATGTCAGACTGTGAGACCACCCCCGCCCTCGAGGCCCCCGTCCCCAGCGCCTGCGCCGCCATCAAGGCCGACCTGGACAAATGGTAGGGGACATTTTGCATGTCTTATAATGGGTGGAATTATGACTAAAAAGCAATGGGAAGAGGTCCAATGTTGGTCCAATTTTACTCCAATTTTAATGCTATTTTACTCCAATTTTACTCCAATTTTACACTAATCTTACTCCAAAATGTGGTCAAATATTACTCTATTCTTTGGTCAAATCTTTGGTGTAAATGTTAAGGTTTTGTATGTGCAGCGAACAGGTCATCATGACACCAAACCTAGAGGAGTTCGTCCAATTTTTGGTCCAAATTTGCTTAATTTCTCTCCTATTTTTGGTCAAGTTGTCCAAGTTCCTCTGACACTGACTCATCATGTGAGCAAATCTTATCCATTTTAATCCTGCTCATCCCTCTGAATATTCTGCACATTTCTCTAAAACACTACCTCTTTTTGAATCTGCACAGCCTTCCACTTTCAATTTGGGTATTTTGTCATATTTTTTATCTCTCTCTATAAATATTTCTGTATTTTCTAATAGTTGTATACCACTTCTACTCTTGCTCCTTTCCTACACCCTAACCCCTCTTGCTCCTTTCCTACACCCTAACCCCTCTTGCTTCATGTTTCATATTTGCAGAATCGTTGACTAAACTCGTAGCTAAACCCCGACAGTTTTCTAATCCCTCCCAAACAGTCTACGCTCAGAGCAGCATTCCCAAATACTCCCGTGTGATTTGACCTTGCTCCGGTCTAATGGCGTTTGATGTTTTTTGATGGCCCGATCCTAAAATGGCGTTGATGTTTTGGGCGATAATAACGAGTCGTAACTTTAACTGAACTGGACGTATTTTCGGGGGGTTTTGAACTCTCGGGGTCCCCCTCTTTAAGGGAGAGTGGTTTTGGGAGTAACGATGTGTGATGGCTGATTCTCAACCGTACGCATGGATGGAGGCTGGGAATCTGCCTGCGTCACTTTCATCTCTTTCTCCCAGAATGCATTGCGTTAGCACGACCCTGCTGTCTCAGTGGTCGACAGATCAGTGCTATTTTTGGGGATTGGTTGCATTTGATCAGAGATTTTGTGCAAAGACTTCCATTTAAAGATGTTTTTGTCACTAACTGAATATCTCAGTGAGGTTTTGATGAGTTTCAGTCTCTTTTATATACAGTAGAAAGCCTGCAGATCAATTAGGACTGAAGATACATCTTAATTTAGCAGTGCAAACTCCAAATCCAAATTTAAAGTGAGCAAGTTCCCAACGTTTGGTGCAGGAAGTCCTACAGAAAAAACAATAAATCAGTTTATTGATAATTGGTTTTAAAATATGGAATAATCAATCAATCAATCAATGTTTATTTATATAGCCCAATATCACAAATGTTACATGTGTCTCAGTGGACTTCACAGTTTGTACAGAATATCAGTATGACAATACGACACCCTCTGTCATTAGACCCTCTGTCCTTAGACCCTCTGTCCTTAGACCCTCTGTCCTTAGACCCTCACATCGTACAAGGAAACACTTCCAGAGAAACCCCACAGTTTAAAGGGGAACATGTGAGAAACCTCAGGGAGAGCAGCAGAGGAGGGATCCCTCTCCCAGGACGGACAGACGTGCAATAGATGCCGTGTGTAAATCGAAGAGATATTACATTTACAGCATAGGTAGACCAAATGTTTGGAAATGCATGTGTCTATAATAAGAAGATGAATCCACGAGGATGTCAACAATCCTGTGGGAGCCATCAGGGAAGTAGTATGATGAGAGTCAGGCAGGACCGCAGAGACAGGTTCAGCCACGACTCGAAGTCCAGGACTCAGATCAGGACTCAGGATAGAGGACTCAGGACCACAGCAAGAGGATCAGCCACGACTCAGGATCCCGGCGTAGATAGACACCAAAAATAATAATAATTCTTGTTCCCTTTTATTGGCCAAGTTGACCATGTATGCATTTATTCAGAGATGATGTTCTGTATATGCAAAGACTTCCATTTAAAGATGTTTTTGTCATGTATTGAATGTCTCTGGGAGGTTTTGATGAGTTTCACTATCTTTTTCTACATTTAACATACAGTAGGAAACCTGCAGGTCAATTAAAAGTGAATAGAAATGTTAATTTAGAAATGCAAACACATAACACTTCCAAATTAAAGTCAACAAGTACCCAACATTTTGTACAAAAAATAAAATCACGTTTATCGATAATTGGTTTTAAAATATGGAGTATCCAAATCCCATGTACTGTTTCCCATCAACAACTCAAATCAAAGTAACGGAATATCTTACAGACGGATCCCCTAAACGTGTGTTAATCACCAACTCATGGACTTTAGAGATTGTGTTGTGTGCAAAGACTTCCAATTAAATGTTTATTCTACATTTAACATACAGTAGGAAACCTGCAGATCAATTAAGGGTGAAAATAATAGTTAGGAGTGCAAACACGTAACACTTCCATATTAAAGTCAACAAGTACCAAACATTTTGTGCAGAAATTCCTAAGTTAAAGTGAACGTTTTTCAAATATGGAATATCCAAATCCCAAGTACTGTTTCAACAACCCGAGTGACAGATGACCTAAAACTTGTGTTAATCACCAACTCTGATTGGCCAAGAAATATGTATTTTATAGAATAACAGACGTCAATGGTTTTTGGTTAATGATTTAAAAAGGAATATTTGGGGTTAAAATCAATTGTTTTGCAATCTCTACGTGACATTTCTTTTACATTTTTGGTATTATTATTGTATCCCCATATACCTGCCTTTGATGACTTCTTACCTTGAGACTTCTAATATTTTACTTATTTATCCGGCAGTGTCTCAGTCAGTAGGGGCTTGGACTGTGAGCCGTAGGGTCGCCGGTTCAAGTCCCCGACCAGACCTAAATATGGAGTGTGGACTTCTACTTGGAGAGGTCCCAGTTCACCTCCTGCCCTGCCGTGGTGCCCTTGAGCAAGGCACCGGACATCCCCCTTCCCCCCTCACTCCCATTGCGCCCCGGGCGCTGTACAATAGTGCTAGACTCCTGGTTCTAGACTCCTGGTGCTAGACTCCTGGTGCTAGACTCCTGGTGCTAGACTCCTGGTGCTAGACTCCTGGTTCTAGACTCCTGGTGCTAGACTCCTGGTGCTAGACTCCTGGTGCTAGACTCCCGGTTCTAGACTCCTGGTGCTAGACTCCTGGTTCTAGACTCCTGGTTCTAGACTCCCGGTTCTAGACTCCCGGCTCTAGACTCCCGGCTCTAGACTCCCGGCGCTAGACTCCCGGTACTAGGATGGGTTAAATGCAGAGAACACATTTCACTGTGTGCTGTGTGCTCTGCATGTGAGACATTAAAGAGGGGTTTCATTCCTCCAATTCTATTCTAAAGTGTTTTTGTTATTTTGAGTCCTTTTTTTTTTTAAAGCGACGATTGGAAAAACTCTCAGGAGGGCTGTTTTCGTATGCTGTCGCTCCTCCAACTTCAACTAAATTGGTTTTCTTGTACCTTAACTATAATAAGTTTAATAATAAAACATGATTTTAGCTTCAACCCCATTACCAGGGTCACTGCTCTGGGGCTCTGATCTGAGGCTCATGAAGGGATCATTAGTTATTGTGCTTTTGTGTGTAACTCTTTAGGTGGAAGCTGTTGGGTGTTGATAAGTGTTTGTTGGGTGTGAAGTCTTCAGATAACACGGCATGTTAAGTCTCGTTGGGTTTAAGGCGTGGATATTTGGCGAATCATCAACAGTTTTATAAGTTTCCCACGTGTGAGATATTTATTGGGTCTCAGGGAACATTTGGATTGCTTCATGGTCTCCTGACAGACGAGGTATTGATAACTGGAGCAAGGCCAGTTTATCTATAGAGCACTTTTCAACACAAGGCAATTCAAAGTGCTTTACAAAAATGAAAGGCATTAAGAAACATTAAAAAGCAAAGATAATAAAACATGAATAACGGGTACATGAATAAAAGTGACAGTGCAGTTTGAGATGCGAATAGTTCAATTAAAAGCAGAAAGAAAAGTCTTCAGCCTGGATTTAAAAGTAGTTTCTGGGAGTTTGTTCCCGCGGTGCCTGGGAAGGGCACGAAACATCATCAGAGACTCTTCCCACCCCAACCATACACTGTTTATCCCCCTACGTGGCGCCCGCTCTGGGACACGCTACCGCAGCCTCCCGGGTAGAACCAACAGGACTACGCACAGCTTCTTCAGACTGCTGACAATGAACCCCACGCTGTCCCATACTGCCTATAGTTGTTATCGTGTGCTGAAGCGCAATTATCCTGGTACATTACTGTTGTATATACAGTACTGTATTTATTATTATTTGTGTATTTATTCTTAGTTATAAATTTCCCATCTATTTACCTTTTATTTTTGTATCATTTATTTTGTACATACTTCTGATAATTGTTTATATAACTGACTTGTTTTGCACTCTGGTTAGACCCTCCTTCATTTCGTTACACTGTGCTTGCATTTTGTAATGACAATAAAGTAATCTAATATTTGACCAGATTCTCCCACTCCTCGACCCCTAGTCTTCCCGTGAAATTATAATTCTTTAGACACTTTTCTAACCTTTTTATATTCCTTTCATCCATTTTCTCAACACATTTTCTCCTGTTTTTCTGTTACCCGAACCCATCTTTGACCTTTAAACCACTTTTCCTTTCAACTCCCAGTATTAGGATATTTAAACATGTTTTTAGCTGCTGATTTTCTTTTACTGCCGTCTTTACTGGGAGTTCTGGCCGAGGTCTCATAGGAGTAGATTCATACGTTGGTTTGTCGACAGGATGTGTACTTTTAAACGGGGAGGCTGTGGCGCAGTGGTTAGTGCGTTGGTGTTCGGATCAGGGGGCACAGGTTCAAACCCCGCTGCAGTCAGCATGCCGTTGTGTCCCTGAGACACTTCACCCCAAACTGCTCCTGTGGGGATTGTCCACAGTATTGAGTATGTAAGTCTACAAGTAACATGTAATGTAATGTAAACGGAATCTTTCAATGATTTGAAGGCAAAAAATATGACTTTTTTTTTT